AAGACAGGAGGAGGAGCTGGAGGTGGAGCTGGAGGTGGCAGAGTTAAAGATGCTAAGATTCTCTTTAAGAGTGACAAGAATGGACAGAATCAGGAATGAGGTCATTAGAGGGACAACACAGACAGGAAGGTTAGGAGAAAAAGCTAGAGAAGCCAGATTGAGATGGTTTGGACATGTGCAGAGGAGGGACAGTGGATACATTGGTAGAAGAATGTTAGAGATGGAGCGACCAGGGGATGGTAATGGAGAGATGGAAATCAATCATTTGCTGTAGCAACTTTTTTTCAAAAAAGTTTTTTTTGAAAATTTTTTTGAAAAAATTAAAAAAAAAAAATTTTTTTTTAAAAATTTTTTTTTAAAAATTTTTTTTTAAAAAAATTAAAAAAAAAATTTCAAAGAAAAAATTTTAGAAAAAACCTTGCTACAGCAAATGACTGATTTCCATCTCTCCCTGTTCTCTGCATCTCCTACTCTGACTCCAACTATCTGCATGTCCTCCCTCACTGCATTCATATATCTCCTCTTTGGTCTTCCTCTCTTTCTCCTACCTGGTAGCTCCATCTCTAACATTCACTGCACATCACTGCACATGTCCAAAAAAAAATTTTCAAAAAAAACTTTTTTGAAAAAAAGTTGCTACAGCAAATCATTGATTTCCTTCTCTCCATTCCCATCACCTGGTAGCTCCATCTCTAACATTCTTCTACCAATTTATCCACTGTCCCTCCTCTGCACATGTCCAAACAATCTCAATCCGGCTTCTCTAGCTTTTTCTCCTTACTCCTAATATTTTTCAAGAAAAAAATTTTCTTGAAAATTTTTTTTTGGACATGTGCAGAGGAGGGACAGTGGATACATTGGGAGAAGAATGTTAGAGATGGAGCGACCAGGGGATGGTAATGGAGAGATGGAAATCAGTCATTTGCTGTAGCAAGGTTTTTTCTAAAATTTTTTCTTTGAAATTTTTTTTGAAAAAATTAAAAAAAAAATTTCAAAGAAAAAATTTTAGAAAAAACCTTGCTACAGCAAATGACTGATTTCCATCTCTCCCTGTTCTCTGCATCTCCTACTCTGACTCCAACTATCTGCATGTCCTCCCTCACCGCATTCATATATCTCCTCTTTGGTCTTCCTCTCTTTCTCCTACCTGGTAGCTCCATCTCTAACATTCTTCTCCCAATTTATCCACTGTCCCTACTCTGCACATGTCCAAGCAATCTCAATCCGGCTTCTCTAGCTTTTTCTCCTAACTCCTAATATTTTTCAAGAAAAAATTTTCTTGAAAAATTTCCAAAACAATTTTTTTGAAACTTTTTTCCAAAAATTTTTTCTTGAAAATTTTTTTTTTTGAAATTTTTTTTTTAATTTTTTCAAAAAAAATTTCAAAAAATTTTTTTTCAAAAAATTTTCAAGAAAATTTTTTTCAAGAAAAACATTTTCAAGAAAATTTTTTTCTTGAAAAATATTAAGAATTAGGAGAAAAAGCTAGAGAAGCCGGATTGAGATTGTTTGGACATGTGCAGTGATGTGCAGTGAATGTTAGAGATGGAGCTACCAGGTGATGGTAATGGAGAGATGGAAATCAATGATTTGCTGTAGCAACCCCTGAAAAAAAAGGGACAAAGCCGAAAGAAAAAGAAGAAGACATATAACTCACAACAAACACAGACTACCACCAGGATTGATACAGTGCACTTTTAGCCGCTGCCTTTGCTTACACACAAACACACACACACACACACAAACACAGCAAATATCTTCAGATTAAGCGATGGGAATCGTTAGTGGTGTTCAAAATTATAGTTTAAAAAAACTTCAAAAATGGTGAAAGTCCTAAGCATTTTTTTCTCTTTTGTTTTCCTAAAACTACAATTTTTGGACAAGTTAAATTAACCAAAACTCATGTAGTGAAAAAAGTGACATTTACTTTATAATATATTATTATATAAAAATATATATATTAAAGCTAGCCAAATTTACTAAGTTTGTAAAAGTAACTTTTCAAAATAAAAGCTTGTATGAAAATTTTTTTTTCCAGATTTTTTATTGTCCTGCCATTCAGTGCTCAGCTACAACTGAGTGAGGACGGAGTCCTGACTCACAGATAGGTGTAACTGGAAACTGGTTGGTGTGTGAGTGAGTGTGTGTGTGTGTACGTCCCTCCTACGGTCCCCTGCTGGAGCAAAGGCTCATGGGAGGACCAGGATGATAGCCAAACCCTAAAGGAAGTGAGGAAATGACTCCTGGCCAATCTCAAGGCTCAGTGAGGTTATTATGGGGCGGCTGGGCCATCGCCATGGTTCCCTGCTGTCAGGGGACACCTGCTCCATCGCTCTCAGTGCTGTGAAGTGTAAACATCTCACACTGCAGTGAAACCATGGTGCTTTTGCAGAGGAATGAGGTTCAGTGTGGAGATATGAGCAACTTGAAGTGGGAGAGATTGAAAAAGGAGTGACAAGAGCACCAGAGTCATCCGACATAAAGAGTGTGTTTACAGGAAATTTCAGGTTTTCTGTAAAGTCGAGTTTTAACCGCATTACGACTTTCAGCTTTCAGATTTTCATTTTAAATCATGCAAAAAGATTAATCCACAGCAATGTATTTACTACAGTATAGTGTGGTGAACAGCAGAGTGGTAGGAAGTAATAAACTGAAAAAGGAAGTGCTCGTCTATTAGACAATATATGGCTTGACTCATATATATATATTTATATATATATATATTTATATATATAGTCTGATTGCCTAATATATTTACGACACAATATCCTACTGCGTTTTCACACTCACAGTGACTCGAAGTGAGACATTAATCTGAGCCTTTTTTTTTTCGTAAAATACGGTGATTTCTGTAACTGTAATACGTTGTAGTAAGTGATTAAATGTCAGTCATTTAATATATGATGGTAAATAATATGTCTCTGTACCAAAACAAACGTTTTGGTACAGACATAAATCCAGACATATAGACAAATAGACATATAGACATAGACAAATGAAGACAAAGAGTCAGAGTGTATTTTCAAGGATTGTAAGCGCCTCAAAAACCCTGAATTCTACAGTAACCATTGAGGGACAAACCAGATAAAAGCAAACCCTGTTCTGTCGTTAGGTGAAGTCTTCGAAGCATATTTTTGTTTTTAATAAGTGACCTCTGCAGGTCCAAGACTTGGACTAATGTCAGTGTGAAAATGACTGCATGAAGAAAAGAAAAAGCACTAATTGTGTAACAATGTAAGGGGCGGGGGCATGTTTTGTAATTCCCACTACCCGTCAGCTGTCCTCCAGCTGATTTACTCTGTAATCCCACTTCATTCTGAGGACTGTACTCATGCACACACTTACAGTTCACACAGTTAGCGCACAAACAAGCGTTATCCTTTGATCAGTGTGCAGCCGAGGAAAAAAAAAAAAAAAGGAAAGACGTGGCGGGCTACAGAAGTCAGAGTGAGTGGAAATGAGCGGAGGTTAGCAGCGTTTCAACGTGCAAATGAGCCTCCGGGACGGAGACGCTCATATAGGACATCAAAGAGTAGAAACAACAGTCCGCTTGGAGTAATGATTGCAATTCAACAAGCGCTGATCAAATAACCAGACTTCACAAACACACACACACACACACACACAGTGAGGCATTAACAGGAATCTCTCCTGACCAGAACATCCAGCCTCCAATCTTCACTAATTACAGATGAGATTGGAAACATCCTCCCAGCTGAAGCTAACCTTTAACCCCCTCTGCACGTTTAGCATACACTTGGCTGGCTTAGCTGTTACGTTAGCTAAGCTAGCATGTTAGCTACATAACAGGCTAACTCTATAGGGATATACTGTAGAAGTTAAATAATAATAATAACAATGTAAACACGTGGCGACAGGAAGTGTAATCTTAATAAGGAGCAAAAAAAAAAAAACCTGCATCCCCTTTTCTCTTCCCCCGTTTTCCTCCAACCCACACACACATTGGGCACATACATTTACACACACACATGCATGAACACAGACTGGTTCAAATTGAAATTATTTGAATTGTTAAATTGCGAAAATGAATATAAAAAAGTCAGTTTAATTCTGAGTAGTAGAATAGAGTTAGTGAGTTGACATGTTGTTCCCACTTTTTTTGTTCTCCTAATTTTGGATCCTTTAAAGTGCTCCCTCTCATGGAGGTGCATCTGTCTGTTTAGTTTTTTTTTTTATAAATGAACTAATTATTTGAATCAATTATTTTCTTTAGCATATTTTTATTTTCTTTCCATATTTTGATCCCTACACCTAAGCTTTTTTTGCTGGTGCCCTTGTGCCTCACGCCGGGTTTTAAACTATAACTGACAGTAAAAAAATCCACAGATGCCGACACGTGTGATGGAAATCATTCCTCTAGACAAACAGCTTGGCAGCAGAGCTTAACAAAAAAAACAACAAAAAAAACAAACACTGTGAGACAAACTGAGCATCTGATTTCAGCCGAAGACGACCAACCTACGACAACAGCTCGTCTCCGATGACTCAACAGGATCTGGACTGGATAATCGCACCGATCCTGTCCGTCTTTACATAACCAATAGTCTGCAGCTGATCGATAACCGGCAGGATCTGTGCTCCGGGGGAGAGTCTTTCCTGAGGTACTAAGACGTAGAGCGGGGGCCGGACCGGGGAGGTAAGGGAGGCTTAAAGCATATTCCACGAATCTCAAAATTAAAAATTTTAAATGAGGAGTCTGCACTGATAATCATGTGTTAATTGAGTCACCCTGGAAAGACAGGGACACCAGAATGGAAGTTCATCACTTATAACGTTGACTCATCCGAGGTGTGAAATAGATTTCACAACAAAGCATGAATGTGAGGCGAGACGCGGCTCGCCTGCTCTCGGGGAGATTGTCACAGGCCGATGGGACGACGTGACGTCAAAGTGACGCAAAAGCAGAAACAGTTAGTGCCCATCCCAAACTCATTTTTAGTCCGATCAGTGGTGGACCGGACTCTGCTGCTGCCACTCACCTGACGTCATTTTGCTGCGGAGGTTTCTTCTGCCCGACCAGGTTCACCGTTCTCGCTTGGATAGGCTTCTCTTCTCTGAAATACACAAAAGTGAGGAAGCTGCTGTCAGCACAAAAATCTTCCCCTCATGTCCGCCTCCATATTTTTCTTTTGGTTTTTCACTTCACTTATACACTCCACATTAATATGGAAGACTTAAGTAAGTTAGCCCCAGCTTCAACGACAACCTAAACCTGGGTCAAATATTTTTAAAGTCCAGTCTGGGGTCTGGTCATTTAGCATTTGTTTCTGTGGAATTTTTATTTAATTTTGGAATTTAATTTTGGCTAACTTTTAGCCTCTTCGGGGCTAACTTGTATACATTTTATCATTGAGGTTTTAGCTATGTTTTCTTCGTCCCACGCTGCCATGTTACTTTTTAGACAATGCTAAGCTAATTTTAGCGAGCCTGTCTTACTTTCATTTCAGCCTCCAGACTAGCTGTTGATTATCTCTAACTTTTAGCTAATTTCTGCTCCTTTTTTGCTGGCTATATGGTTAGTTTTATCTGAGCTTTGATCTTTGTTGTGAAGTCCTTTTGCATCAAGGGCACATTGATTAATGCGATGAATTATTTAATCTTATTAATAACTTTTAACATTTTTTGCTAAATGGGTTAGCCTTTTATCGATTCCTGGACAAATGTTTGTTGTCTTCTGGCTGTTGTAGTTCTGGCCTATTTTAAGGTTGAATTGCTAACTTTAAGCTACATCTAACTTAACCCTACATTGTGGCTATTTGGTTACATTTTACCCACAGTAAGAGCTGTGTTTGTCTTAGCCATAGTTGCTACATTTTCTTAAGAGATTTAGTAAATCGTGTCCTGCACTCCTCGGGTTAAAGAAACAAAAATTAAAAACAACAGCAGTTTACTGTAGCATTCTGTAAATTAAAAGTTTACAGTCAACTGTTTCCTTTAGCTGTCCAGCTAACTGCAGAATCCACATGGACGAATCGCAGCAGGATTTAAATCTGCAACGTCCATGCGACAGCCAAACCTCTTTGAGACACAGTGACGTCACACTCCCATCAGCTCCATCCTTTCACTGCTGACCGCTGTGTCAGAGATTAGACTTGATGCTACACACGAGCAACATAGAAGCATTTAGCTCTCAGAGAACATATAATCTGCCGCTACGTAAGGAATAATCCAGAAGCTGCTCTAAGGCAACGTACCCAGCCACTGCAGCCCTAAAAAGGAAAATAACTGAGATGTAATAAAAAATAAGTATATTGCTGGAACACAAAGACATTGTTTATATGTTCAGACATATAAATCCAAGTGTAGTTTGACAGTGTTGGTGGACTTTAGTCGTTAACATCCTGACAGTGTCTGGTAGAAAAACAAAACTTTCCAAAACTTAGTAATATTAAAGTAAAGTAAAGTAAAGTAATATTAATCAAACAGCAGTCGATTTGTCCTGAATTTATTTATGTATTTCTGGAGATTTTTTTCCGAAAGGGTTCAGGTGTAAAAGGCGCTGATATAAAAGTGTTCTCTCAGCAAATACGTTTTTTTGATTGAAGTAAAAAAAAATTAAAAAAAGAAGAAGACATTTCAGTTGCCAAAGATGAAACAGAAATATCCAGACTGACAATGAGTGAAGCCAAATCCTGCGTTTGTGACAGGACAGTGGTTCATCAGTGGGATCTGCACGTACGGGAGTTTATTATTGCAAAAACTTATGTTGGACTTTTGGCGAGACATAATCAGAGCCGGACATTATGTTGTATAAAAGTCTCTTCTTTTTTTTAAGCAGGACCAAATTAGACCATATCAGGTTGTGATCACGTCGTCTGCGTGCGTTCATGTCTATGAATTGGTTGCACAACGAGGAAAAGGGCCGTAACTTCCCTGGAGTTACTCGCTGAGTACAGATATCAAACTGCTAATGAGAGTGGAATATTCTCCTACTTCACTGCATTACAACCCACACTGCCTATACTGCAAGTACACTCACTGTGCATGTATTAGTCAACCAGTGCAGCTTCTCAGTGCAGATCCTATTATTAAGACACACACACACAGGTTTTCAATGGACTAAATCCACAGCATGATGAGAAGAACCACCAGTGAAACCAGTAAAGCTCAGGACACACACACACACACACGTCTGTACTGCACAGAGAGCGGGCCGTGACGCTACGCTGTGACATAACTGAAACCACAGCCTTTGGTACGATACTGAGAACGACGCACAGCCACTTAGACCTGCAGTTATCTACATGCACAGCGACACATGTATCGGACGTTTCCGTCTTTAGATGCAATGAATCAATATTCAGTTCCAGTGCTGGGCTATCAGTCCTCGCACGGGGCTTAAAATAGCACAGGGACGTAAAGCTGGAGGAGCGCCTCGCTTAGGTGGGTCGCACTATATATCTGCCTGCCTGCCGATGTATGCACACAGCTGAGGCTGGAAAACGTGAGAGAGGCTTTCGCGTCAACTTCAGGCTTTTTTTTCTCTGGACACACAGCGGGAGGGGGAGGAGGGTGAGGGTAAGGGGGGTATGTGGTTGATCGCTGCAATGCTGGTGGAGGTGCAAGCATGTGGAGTACAGTGGTGGTGATGGTATGGAAGCACACGGCAAGAAATAAGTCACTCCTGATTCAGAACGACATTATACAGCAGGCCCCCCCCCCCCCCCCCCCCCACACACACACACACACCTCCTCTTCCTCCTCCAGCCTCCCTCGCTCCCTCCTTCCGTGTTATAGGACTGCTGGTTCTATAACAGCCTGTGTGATGTCTGTTGCGAGAGCACTGGCCTACATACGGTGCATACAGGCTGGGGAAGGCTCAACCGCACCCCTGAGCTGCAAACAACAGCTGTTGAGATGGATGCTGCACAGATAAAAGCCAACAGGGAAGCTTTCCTTCTTTTTTTTTTTTTTTCTTTTTTTTACTTCTACTATTCTGGTGCCGGGCTTCAGCTGCTGCAGCTTTTCTGCTGCTGCATGCATCAATGAAAAAACTGTCAGGTAAAGTCTGGAATAGTTGTCACTTCAGTCAGGCTCCTGTGCGAATGCTCGTCACGACTTTGGCCAGGGAGGGTTTTTTTATATATAGCTGAGCGAGGTACGGTGATAATCAGGGGGGTTTACAGCGACACACCTATATTTTCCCTGGAGTTCTTCCTCAACGCCACCAAGCACTGAGTTAACGCTGACTGACCAATGTGAGTCATCGGCATCAACTGAAGAGTGGACCACGACTTGGTCCGGTCCAAGAGTGTCGTCAACCATCTGGTTATTCATCTTGTACCGTTTAAATCCCAGTCATGATCCTGGTGGGAAACTGGAGTATAGTTATATCTAGCTGTGATTAGGTGGGAAAAAAATAGAGGACTGGACTGGACATTGGTCCGTCACAGGCCAACAGGCAGGGACAAAAGAAAAAAACATTTATCTCTGATCAGTTTTTACAAGTTAATCTAATCTAATACCCAATCCACGTCTTTGGACTGCAAGAAATCCATGCAGGAATCTGGTTCCTTTTTGGCAGAGCCCATTGGTCACATGACCGACCGAAACCATCGCCGAGGTGGTGTCGTTGTGACCCCATGCTAGCGTTAGCTGAAGACAACCTTCTGACTTTAAAGCTGGTTGTGTCAGGTGTCGGTGTTGTCAGTGGAGATGTTGGTTGGTTTTTAGTGACATTGTCATTCTCACAGTGTAGCCTGATGTCGTGTGATGACCTCGGTTCACCTTTATCTATTACATCACTGCTTCATCATCAAGGTCCAAATACCTTTTTCTTTCATTTCAACAAAAGTTCAAACGAATGCCCAAAGCTCGAGGATGAAACCCCTGTTCAAGTGCATCATACGCTGTCTAACTGTATACACCACCAGAGAGCGCTATACCCCTAAGCTAACATACTTCCTTGGTGGACAAGTACGACACCACAGCATCTGGAAAGACATCTAATATGAGGTTTTTGTTATTAGCTCGAAAGCTAAACAGACAGTGTACTTAAAGTTTGTTCCATTTGTAGCATCACGGAGGCTGCGTCTAGAACGCCTCGTGAATCCTCGATTTCTACTTTTAAGGTCGTTGCAACTCAAAACAAACTGAGTTTAAAACGCATGCTACGCTCATCGTCCACTTTTTGTTGTAACTTTGAAAGTCATACACACAGTTAACTAACCAACCTAGCTTGTAGCCTTTTTAATATCATGTAATAACATGAACTGCAGCAGTTGAGATTATACTTTTCACCTTCATNCTGCAACTTTGCTATTTGTGTACAGGTCCGTTCCTGTTAATGCTACAAATTCTGCCAATTTCTTGCAAGACTTTTAGCCTGATGTTAATTAAGTTTTGCAGGTTTTAGCGTCAACGTCCGCACCTGCATCTCCTTTGAACAAAAATCAGAAGATGCCACCAGGGAGACAGGAAAGTTTCACACTACATGTGAACATGTGACGTTAGCATGTACGGTCCACATGACCATCACATGTCAGGCGTCCTGCATATGTCCAAACACAGTCCATGACCATATGACGATCATAGACCAGAGACATGATCCCTGGACCAGCGGCCAAACTAGTAATGAGGCCCGTGAGTGAGTGAGTGAATGAATGAATGAATGAATGAATGTGGATGGACCTGAGACCTGATGGAGCCCAGGCCCAGTCTCTCTCTCTCTCTCTCTCTCTCTCCTTCTCTCTCTCTCTCTCTCTCTCTCCCTCTTACTTTAACATGGCCTCCTCCTTCGCCTCCTCCTCCCGCTGCCGAGCCAGCACAGCCATGATGATCTTCCTCTCCTCCTCTGTCAGATGGCTAAGGTCCGGCTCTGGGATGGCTGAGGAGACGGGTGGGCGCGGGCCGCCCCGAGGGCCCACCGAGGCGAACATCTTCCCTTCTACTACCACCACCTTCTTCTTCTTCTTCTTCCTCCTCTTCTGCCCCCCTCCTACCCCTCCTCCTCCTCCTTCGCCTCCTCCTCCTCCGCGCCTCGGTCGGGATCACGGATAGAAAACCCGCTGGCGGAGCCCACGGATCACGACATGGCCCGCGGACGCAGCGGCGGTTGGAGCGGCTGATGCGGAGTTCCCATGGCGGTGTCGGGGGCGCCCAGGGCGGCGGCAGCAGCAGCGGCTGCAGCAGCAGCGGCAGTGTCGACTCTACAGCTGTAGTAGTAGTAGTTACGTTGATGGTGGTGATGATGGTGGTGGTGATGGTGGTCCTCTCCCGGCTGCTTGTAGTTTTTTTTTTTTAATCTTCCTTCTCAGCCTCCGCTCCTGTCTTCTCCCCCCACCCCCCTCCCCCCCCCCGCCCGCCCCCTTCTCCCCCCCAACGGGGAGTCCATATCAGCTGCTGTCCGTACAGGGATGATGATGCTGGGAGCGGAGCGGAGGGGTGGATGAGGATGAGGCGGCTGTGGTTGTGGATGTCGCTCGCCGTGCTTGTTCGCCTTCTTCGGCCAGGAGGTTGGGTGTGGATGGGTGAGGGTCAGGTCTCCGATCGGTCCGCTGTTTTGCGGTGCTGTGCGGTGTGTTGCAGGGCGAGGCGGCGGCCGCAGCAGCGACGGAAGCGGCTTCTTCTTCTTCTTCTTCTTCTTCTTCTTCTTCTTCTTCTCCTGCTTGTTTTCCAGCCCAGCCGCTGATGCTGATGCTGATGCTGCTGTCAGGGAGACGGAACCGTCAATGGGACCGCAGCCCCTCAAGCGCGCTCACACTCCTCCTGCGTCGGGAGCGCGGAGCCCTCATTTGAGAATGGGGGCTCTCCACTCATGCGCGCTCTCGCCCGCTCTATATAGCCAACCCACACACGTAAGAAATGACGGGTTTCTCCGAGGTGCATTGTGGGATTTGGAGGTCCATGAAGTATATAAATTAAACACACTCACCCCACCACACACACACATACACACGGACTACGGTCTTCAAATATGAATGTCTCCTATTATTTATTCAAAGCCTCTAACGGATTATATTAAAAAGTAAAAAAAACGCCTTAAATCCTGAAACGTACAATTCAAGCTGCTCCTATGAATAAGGCTGTTTTATGTATGTAAGTATTGATCAAAAATAGATACTTATGTATGTATATATATATATATCGTAGACAATTATGGTGACGTTTAGTGATTTTTCTAGAAAATCACGAAAACAACAACGTGTGTTTTCAGTGTATGTTTTGATTTCGTACAATCAAAAAGTCACAGTAAAATTATATAATCACGATTCAAAATCTTACGCCGTGGAAAATATTTTATTTTGAAGGAGTCTCTGACCGGAAACTCGTGCTCGCTGCGACGTCACTGCTGGTTAAAGGCTGAAATTCGTATTAGCTTACATTTTTACGTTCGAGTGTCGCGTTAATGCTACAGATATAACGTTGTCGCGGTCATTATTATAATAATTATTATTTTTAGTAAACGTCTCAGTCTGTGGGTGAGTACAACATCCGACAACAGTTTTTGACTTAAACAAATGTGTCGTTTAAAAATACAGGCAGAGCTTTCGCTGTTCTGTGACATAACATCAGCTTTTAAATACATTTTGGTACAGAGAGTTAATTTAAATATTTTTAAATGTGAACCTTTTTTTTCCAGCGTCAGCTTATATAGTTTGAAAAACAAAAACGAATCGAAACTAAAGAAAGGAAACTAAAGGAAATTCTATTCACATGTACATGTATTATTATTATTGTTGTTGTTGTACAGTTTATCTTTTATTTAGATTCAACACGATCGAATTTCAAATAATTAATATTGTGCCTTAATTAGAAATAATATTTGTTGTTAAATAGTGGTAATTATATTTGTTGTATTGATTCTGTTTTTATTACAGCAGGTGTTCTCAAATTGTCCAACCCTTCTATAACTGTAATCAGTTTAAAGTTTAAATCTACAGAATTACTTTTCCCCTTTGTGACAGTCAGGTGATGGACCTGCTGCCAGTGTTGGTGGTTCATGGAGGGGCCGGCACAGTCCCCAGGGAGCGATCAGAGCAGTCTGTGTCAGGGGTACGATCAGCTGCTCGGGCAGGATACGCCATCCTGCGAGGAGGGGGCAGCAGCATGGACGCAGTGGTGGAAGCAGTGGCACATATGGAAGATAATCCATCTTACAACGCAGGTGATGTCAATGTTTGTGCAGAAAAGTTTATGAGTTTATGTGTCGTTTGTTTGGAGTTGAACTGCTAATGCACAAAAAATATTTACAAATTATTTGAATATTGAATATTATTTTTGTCTTGAGAGAGAGAGAGAACCTTATCCTGTTGTTTTTTCTGTTCTTGTCCAGGCTGTGGCTCTGTGCTTAATGTCTACACACGGACTACGGTCTTCAAATATGAATGTCTCCTATTATTTATTCAAAGCCTCTAACGGATTATATTAAAAAGTAAAAAAAACGCCTTAAATCCTGAAACGTACAATTCAAGCTGCTCCTATGAATAAGGCTGTTTTATGTATGTAAGTATTGATCAAAAATAGATACTTATGTATGTATATATATATATATCGTAGACAATTATGGTGACGTTTAGTGATTTTTCTAGAAAATCACGAAAACAACAACGTGTGTTTTCAGTGTATGTTTTGATTTCGTACAATCAAAAAGTCACAGTAAAATTATATAATCACGATTCAAAATCTTACGCCGTGGAAAATATTTTATTTTGAAGGAGTCTCTGACCGGAAACTCGTGCTCGCTGCCGACGTCACTGCTGGTTAAAGGCTGAAATTCGTCTTAGCTTACATTTTTACGTTCGAGTGTCGCGTTAATGCTACAGATATAACGTTGTCGCGGTCATTATTATAATAATTATTATTTTTAGTAAACGTCTCAGTCTGTGGGTGAGTACAACATCCGACAACAGTTTTTGACTTAAACAAATGTGTCGTTTAAAAATACAGGCAGAGCTTTCGCTGTTCTGTGACATAACATCAGCTTTTAAATACATTTTGGTACAGAGAGTTAATTTAAATATTTTTAAATGTGAACCTTTTTTTTCCAGCGTCAGCTTATATAGTTTGAAAAACAAAAACGAATCGAAACTAAAGAAAGGAAACTAAAGGAAATTCTATTCACATGTACATGTATTATTATTATTGTTGTTGTTGTACAGTTTATCTTTTATTTAGATTCAACACGATCGAATTTCAAATAATTAATATTGTGCCTTAATTAGAAATAATATTTGTTGTTAAATAGTGGTAATTATATTTGTTGTATTGATTCTGTTTTTATTACAGCAGGTGTTCTCAAATTGTCCAACCCTTCTATAACTGTAATCAGTTTAAAGTTTAAATCTACAGAATTACTTTTCCCCTTTGTGACAGTCAGGTGATGGACCTGCTGCCAGTGTTGGTGGTTCATGGAGGGGCCGGCACGGTTCCCAGGGAGCGATCAGAGCAGTCTGTGTCAGGGGTACGATCAGCTGCTCGGGCAGGATACGCCATCCTGCGAGGAGGGGGCAGCAGCATGGACGCAGTGGTGGAAGCAGTGGCACATATGGAAGATAATCCATCTTACAACGCAGGTGATGTCAATGTTTGTGCAGAAAAGTTTATGAGTTTATGTGTCGTTTGTTTGGAGTTGAACTGCTAATGCACAAAAAATATTTACAAATTATTTGAATATTGAATATTATTTTTGTCTTGAGAGAGAGAGAGAACCTTATCCTGTTGTTTTTTCCGTTCTTGTCCAGGCTGTGGCTCTGTGCTTAATGTCAAAGGAGAAATAGAAATGGACGCCATTGTGATGGACGGGAAAGCTCTGGGAAGCGGCGCCGTCTCTGCTGTTCGCAACGTAGCTAATCCTGTTCGTCTGGCGAGACTAGTTATGGACAAGGTCGTATTTTATCCACCGTGTGGTCAATGTGCCGTCAGATTAACCCTTCATCGTGACATTTTATTGTAAGATTATATGAGGTTGTAAAAGTACAAATACTGACGTCTGTGCCTTTGATACCATTGTCAGCCCTGCTGCTGTGCAAATGTGTCCTTCATTATACAAAAAGATTATTATTTTTATAACATGCAACATTTGGGTCTCGATGCCAAACACAAGTCGTTAAAGTCTAGTCAGCATGTTGACTCTTCATGTACTTGGAGGAGGTTTAATTGTAAATGCGAGATGCTTTTTTTATACTTATTATAAAATGTGCTTTAATTATAAACATTATATTTGCATCAGACGTTAAAACATTTTAATTTCTGTGGATTTTATTAGCTGTATATTT